AAAACTGAACACTGAGTTTCCATACTGCGATTTAATCAAGCATTCTCAATGTTATTAAGCAGAGTTTGTTTTTATGCTACTCTCTGCAGCAGGGAGTATGGAAGCTGACTTTCTTTTCTTCAATATTTCCTCTGTGGTGCTAGGCTAGCCTCTCTGCCCGAGAAGCCTGCAGTCATTGACTGGAATTACTACAAGACAGCAGTGGCCAAGGCAGGGATGGTGGATGAGTTTGAAAAGAAGGTGAGGAGGAAACAATGCAGTCAAGAAAGAATCTTAGCAGCATTCTTCAGCCAGGACACATTACTTTTTGGATCTTAGCAAAGGATTTGGCCATTAAACATTTTTATTTGTCATGATAATTTCCATTAACATAAACTTTATATTTTGGTTAATATTTTTGATATTGTGCCAATTTTTTATTTGCATTCACTGTATATTGAAAACCATGTTTATAGACTGTTTCACCTTGGTTTTGTGTCAAGAAGAGTGACATTTTCACCTGGGAATGTCTCCTATTTCTACCCAATACATGCTTTTAGCTGCAGAACGGATGAAGTAAGGCATGTTTATTCAGACTCTTTATTTCTCTACTTTCTGCAGTTTTCTGCCCTCAAGGTCCCGGAGCCAGTAGATACTCAGAACTCCAAGATTGATGCCCAGGAGCAGGAGTCTGTGAGTCATGGAGAAATCCATCACTTTTCTGTATAGTTGTAGAAATGAACTTTTTGCCTTAGTAACCTATCCTACACTGTATACCAGGCACTGGGCGTATGTGCTCTGTGGTGAAAGGCATTTGGACATTACCTGTGTTTGTTAGCCAAGATATTACGCACTTCTTGGTCAAACTTTTGGAAGCTCTGGAGCTGATGGAACAAACAGTTTATTCCCACATACATTTACCCTAATCCCAGTCTCAGCTCAAGGCAATATTTCTACAAGTTGAATGGTGTCTAGAAGAACTTGGGCTGTAGATATTTTAAAACTGTTTTGTCACAATCGTTCTTAAGTACATTTGGTGAACTTTTTAATTTGGCTAGTGACTATATTTTAGTTGATCCATACATGCAAGATTTTAATGTAGCTAGTCTGTCTGTCTTCTGTCACAAGGCATTTTCTGTTCTCAACATGTTAATGGAAAGTGTTTTGGGTGCAGTGTGACCCTCAGTATTTGTGGTAATGTACAGTCAAAGAAATGGCAGGTGTAGTGAAGTCTAGTAAATTAAGCAGTGGCTACAGCCTTGGATTTTCCAGAATACATTCTTTATCTTTCAAGTTCATTTTGCCTTCAAAATGTTCTGGAATGTTAAGAAAGTGGGGCTGCGTATCCTTCATATATTAATTGTTCAATTTCAGATTTTCTTAAATTCTTCTTAACTGCTTTGAGTCATTGGACTATCCTTAAATATACTTGAGACCTCTGTCTTTCAAAATACAGTAGGGTCTCAGTTGGGAAAGTTGGACGATTTGCATATAACCAAGTCTGCCCCTTTAATGTTGCATAATAAATTACAGCATATAGAATGTATGGTAAAAAGCTGTAAGTAACCCTCTTTTATATGATAAAGTACTGCATGACTCCCAATGCATTGACTTCCTTACATAAAATAATCGGGCAGGGGGCAGGGAGAGGCTCACTCACTATCGCTAGATTTCTCTCACTCTCCTAGTTGTGCAGGTGAGTTGAAAGTTGTGGTTTACCTTTGGCACCGTTTGATCATGCTCTGCTCCTCTTTCACGACTCCGTCAGCCAGACCGCAATGTGAATAAAGGAATTTGTGAAACACTAAAATCGCAGATGTCAAGACCCAGCTGTACAGTACTTGAGTGACACTTTCTTTAACAGCCCTGACCTTTCTACAGATTATGTTGGAAATATAAGATATCTTCACAAATTCAAACTTGTTCAATAAAAGTAAATTACATTGACTGTTTTTTCCGTCTTAAGCACTCTATGATGGGAATATTTGTTTTTAAGGCATTTTATTTATTTCTTTTTCAGAATAAAATTGCTGCTCTCTACATTGAAGCCTCCAAAGCTCGTGTTGAGCAGTATGAGAAAGAGGTAAGTGAACCCTGGGTTTCACAAGTTTGCGGAATGAATGACTCTTTTGGTGGATGAGCCCTAAATGGAGATAAGAGATGTGAGCTAGTGATTCAAGTGACCTGTTATTTAAACGGTCCAAACTAAACTCAAATGTATGCTTTTCAATACAGTTTTAGATTACTGTGTATGCATTGTGTACAAATCCAAAAATATTTGTGAGCATAGGCCATGAGTAGATTTCTGGGTGCAAGAAGCTTAATTTGTTACATTAGAAGTTTAATATGTCACAGTTTTTAAAATAACAGGCTGAAAGATTTTGAAGGTTTTAATTAGCATTTTATTGACAGCACAGTGTTTCACAGCTGGATGTTAAATGAGTGAAATTGGTTAACTTTTTTTCCTTGTGAAAGATGAAGACTTTAACATGATCTCTTGTTACAGCTGGAGAAGTTCAAGAACATGATTCCCTTCGACCAGATGACTATCGAAGACCTAAATGAGACCTTCCCAGAAACTAAGCTGGATAAGGAGAAATATCCCTACTGGCCACACAAACCAATTGCCGACTTGTAGTTGGCATCTTTTAAGATGGAAGTTTCTCTCATTCCGGGACATAATAGTTTCTAAATAAATACTATTGTACAGTCATAATGCGTTTTGTTTTCACTGTTACAGAACTAGATTTCATGTGGAAATACCATCAAACTTTCCATTTCATTTTAATTAGAAATTTAGAAGTGCCATTGATTTTTGTTATATTTGCACTTGCTTTGGGGACATTGATTATATCTTTACATTTTTTTGTTCATTTGGGTTGAGAACTGGTTCCTCTGATCAACCAACATAGTGCCAATCATCTCTTGACATACTACATGCCTTGCAGTGACTTTTAGGATGTTTTCAACCTGAGATCTGAGGTCTTCTTAGCAGTTTAAAGATTTTCTGAGGAAACATCACAAATAAAGTTTTTCACTCATTGTGTTGTGTAAAAGCAACATTAATATACAGTGATCTCTGGCATTTGATGTGTTCACCTGTACTTCTTTGAATATCTTGTACTTGATAGATGCATTATAATATTTGTAGACTTCTGATTGTTTTTTATATTCAGGTATGGGGTAATTACTGGAAAGATCTGTTTGAATAGGAATGAAGCTTTGTAGTCCTCTAATTTTGGGAAAACGTCCTGAATTGTTTTTATTCATGTTAAGTATAATAGTAGCTCATTTGCTATGGTATGTTACGTGAGAAGAAACAAGCTATTGTATGTATACACCAATTTTTATTAGTGTCTGTTTGGGGGTGCATGCACAGGGATGGAGGACCAAAATCCAACATCTGGCTTGATCTAGCAGAATATAATGTTGTATTCTGAAAAATGACTTCTCAAGGCCAAATGGAAATGATTGGTAGCTTGTTTTTGAGGACATCATGCTAGTCCAGGAGCAGACTTGTTACAAAAAGAAGTGATTTGAGTCAAAAATGAGGGACCAAAATTAGATTGACATTTTTGCTAAGTTATTTGAAATAAGACAACATTTTACAAGCACATTAAGTGCACAACTAGAACTCGGGAAAACATTTTAACCTCCAGCATAACATTTGGAGGTTAGGATTGACATAGTAGAAGATTGGAGGGCAACAGCAAAAATGACTAATCCAGTAATATTTTGAAGGTTAATGAGTGCATCATAGTCACAGTCACAGTCACTGAAGCTGGGGTGTCACAGGGGCTGGGAGAGCAGCCTGGTTTTGATAATAACTTGGGCTTTATAGTACTCTCTCAAGAAATGATGCTATACAATATGCAAAGATCTGCATTAAAGAGGGTTGAATCAACTGATTAATTTTTAGTTCTTGATTAACCTGAACCAGGCTTACTCCCAATAGTAGGTTTTTTGTCAAGTCTGTACAATCACCTGAATACTGATTTATATTTCATTCTTTTAATAGGCACAAACGACAGATATAAACAAGTGTTCCGTTTAAGCTTAGGTCGCAAAAATTAAAAAGAGAAACGTTTAAATAGATAAAAGACAAAACAATGGGAAATTATTATGAGTCTTAATGTTCCAGAACTCATGCAATTAAGTTCTTTAGTTTTTCCAGAAGGTAGCGCTGTTTTTCTAAATTAATGAACCCCTCTGTAGATTGAACTTCATTGGGGAGTGCTGTGCCTGGAGTGGCGTCTTTGAATAAATCAGCTAGAAAGAGTAGCAACCGTTTCTCTTAGTACGTGAGAATGTCGGATGGACAAGAAGGGATCAGTTTTATGAACTGCTAGTTGTGCGATTAAACGATTTTTATTAAAATAACATTAATTTAAAATTCTGATGTTTTATATGTTTTCTTATTTTAAATAATATTCCTGTTTATGTCAATTGTGCAAACTTTGTAAAGGAATGGAAAACGAAGAGATTTTCCAATGTACAATTTTCTTGAAAAGCAGACCAGGAACAGGATCAGTTTTTGAGTTATTTCGTATATGACGAGAGCCATTTCGTTAGACAATAGAGCATGTAGGGGATATTAATGATTTCAGAAACCATTAGGGTGTTTTGATAGGTCGTTTTTCAGATCCTAATCCATGGCTTTTTTATTAGTGCGGATTCCAGATTCATCTCATCGTCGGTTGGGGTAAGACGGTTTCCATAATTTGTTTTGAGGACGTCAGTAAAATCAGCTGAAATGCTGAAGTTGCCAATTTATCTTTACCAAGGTGGACCATTGAATTAGTTTTGTTCAAAAATATTTAAACAATGTGAGCATAGTAGAAGTTTGCTGAGCAGTAAAACATAAGATTTAATGTAGCTACTTTTTATTCTTGATTTTCAGCGCCTTTCGTCTAACATTCCTGAAACACTTAACTGCGCTCACTGATTTTTACTGCCAAGACACGTCTTTTGTGACTGTGAGATTTCAATTGTTTTAATTTTGAAAAGACAGGCAATTCATTAATTTTTTATTTGATTTTTGAGATACTGAAACCTCGTCTCTCTTTTTAAGTAAACCGTTTAAAAAATGCTTAGCGTTACTAGGTTTGCAGCTCTGGAAATGCTTTCGCCCTCTTGACTGACGGCTATGGTAACAGGCGGTCGTGATGGACGATCAGTTCTGTGACACAAAGAGCTGGGCTACTCGCAGGGTGTCATGACAACGCTTTTGAATGGGATAGGAAAAGTGAAGAGGCAATGGGACTTTCCTGGACATTGAAAGTTTGCTGAAACATATCAAAAGAGATAGGGTGGCTGTTTTTTTGGGGGAAAAAATCCGCTGCTGCCGCGTATTTCCAATGTTCTGTAGAAAGCATGAAAATAAATGACTGTCTTGCAAGGAGTGGTAAGAAAATACCCCCAGCCCGTTAAGCACTTGAGTGGGGAAGTCCTGCTCAGGGACTGAGATTCCTGCTAGTGTGAGTCATGCTGTTGTCTGGGAGATGGGTCCAGCATTCTGGAGATGATGCTTAACAATATATTCCCTACCTCTCAGGCTGTCTTCCCAATATTCCAAGGAACATAGACTGGATTCATCCAAACAGAGAGTCCCAGGATGAAGCTGTTGGTCTGTACCCTGTTTTTGGCAGCAGCAGTGATCCCTATGAAAAGCCAGGCTGATGGCAAAAGAGAGTTTCCTGACAGTGGGGATGTGGAGTCAACAGAGGATGAGAAACTCAGCCCTCCAGAACTGCCCTGGGAGACAAGAAGTGGGAAAGCTTGGGGAAACTTAAGGAACCACGGGGAGCACTCAGGCAGCTCTGAGGACAGAGCCTTGTCATTAAAAGGAAACTTTCTTGTTGGCAGGACCAGCCTGACCCAGAGGAGGTGGCACAGTAAGCACCAAGGATCCCGACTAATTCGCAGCATCCTGGGTGATGCCAAGTGTGCCTACAAAAATGGTGCCCCTGAGAGAAGCAAAATAAATGCCCCCTCGTTGGAAATGGACTCCCATGATCACTCTCAAGACAGGCAGCCCCCTCCCACAGGTATTACACTGTGGCCATCAGAGATACTGCCTGCCCTTCCCTGTCCCCAGCATTGTGTCTGCAACCACACGGCTGTGAACTGCTCTGGAGCGGGTCTGACTGAGGTCCCTAGGGCAGGGAGCTGCCCCCTACACACAGAGATACTGTAAGTGATACTTGCTTCTCCAGGGGGCCGGGGAGAAAAGTGCCCAAACACTGCTTATGATCTAAAACGTGGGAATGCTGGTACTCCGTACACATCAGGGCTGATTCTCAGGAGTCCTCCTTGGTTCGGCTCCATGGTTTTTATGGAGAGATCCGAGTTAGAAATATAAAGTTAGAAAAAAATCACAGCAGTCCCCTTTATCATAAGAGGAAAGCATGCTATTTTGTCTGTAAAATTCTAAAATATTCCTAATGAAGTGTCTCACTGGGCTGTAACTTAGTTTTAGTTGGATTTTTTACAGCTTCTAAATCTTGCACTTCTTCTTATTGAGTTTGTTTTAAAAAAAATTGCAGTATGAAAAATATAGTAATTCTTACAGGTTGCACCTTTGTCTCGGGATACCATCATGTACAGTATGTTTGGCTGCCTTCTTAACATTTGGTCGACTTCAGCCTTTGTTTCTTTAGAGATACTGAACAGATGTGCTTTACTCTGCAGCTCCAGGCAGGTGTACTAAATGTCACGTCTGCAGCCTGAACATACTCAAAGCAAAAAATAGAGCTGTGCTTGAAAACCAGGTGTACTAGATTTCCTGTTTCTTTCAAGCATCAGTGCAGAATTGTGCAACTATAGTAAAAAACTGATAAAAGTGGCCAAGCACTTTTCCCTCCCACCATAAAGGTTAGTGTGTTTTGCGTGCTTGTTCTTGAAGGCTACTGATGAAGCTACATGTGGTTAGTTGGGTGTCTTCCTGTGGTGGCTTTGACTTGTGTCTGTAACAGGTTTCTTCTCTATACACTGAATCTCAACTATCACACATCTTCAACAGCCAAAGTTAAAAAAAAAAAGAAACAATCAGTGTTTTCTGGGAATAGGGTGGAGGACTGGGTCATACCACACTTGGCAGGAGATAAGAAAAACAGATACTGTAGGAGCCACCTGCTGAACTGTTATTAACTACCACATCTGAAGGGAATGAATCTACATGAGTGCTTAAGTAATGCCCTGTGCCTTAATAACTGCCTTTTTTAAGGTTAACTTAACAAAGTTAATGTTGTATATAAGGGTGTAGGAGAGGGAGAAAAACTAACACAGTTCAGTTACTTTTTACCAGTTTAATTTCTTATAACATCCTTTCATCTATACAATTTCTAACAACTTCTTCTAATTCAGTGTCACGGGGGGAGCCAGAGCCTACCCCAGCAAGCAACAGGTGCTAGAAGGGTACACCCTGGATGTGATGCCAGTCTATCACAGGGCATACAGACACAAACACAGACA